CATCCATCTTGGCCAATCCGATGTGAGCTCTCCCCCCAAACCGAAGATTCAAGGCCAGTCCAATCGCCTTCACCAGCCCACTGGACCACCGCGCCCACGACCGAGATGCTTTCATTCTCTCCTGTAGCCCTCCCTCCACTGGGTCCGCCGATCCTCCTCCCCTGAGTCCATTCAGATCTTCCAGGTGACGAAGGTTGGTCAGCAAACTAGTGGGTTTTCGCCGGGAGTGCTCCGTTCGTCCTTGGTCGAAGCTAACCAAGCTCATTCCATACTCGCCCACCATTCTCCTCAACAATGGCCATTCAAAGAAAGATGGGTGATCATGCCCGGCATCGACTCCATCTCCCACATAGCTTGCAGGGTCCTGCGGAGATTCCAGAAGAAATGCCACCGGATCAGGTCCTTCCCGATGCTCCTCCGCTAGGTGCCATAGCCCCACCTGCTTCACCACCAGTGCGGAATCCCCTCGCACCTGTTCACGTTCCCGGGCCGTTAGCCCCTCCAGGCCCCAGCGATCATCGCCACGACCTCTCACTCTCCTCGGTCCTGGCGGCCCCTTGCACCTCAATCTGCTCGTGGTACGACAAGGCGGACCCCCAACCACTCCTTTCAACCACTCCTTTCACCTTCCCGGATCTGGCCAGCGAGCACACGTAGCTCCACACATTCGCGTTGTGCACATTGAAGCCATCTCCCAACTCCAAATCCAGGAAAATCCAATCCATGTCATCGGGCAGTGTGCCTTTCCACCTCCCTGTATCCGCTCCAGAGAAAAGGTGAATCACCAGGCCACGACTTCGCTGATGTCGACGCCTCTGACGTCTATTCCAAGGCAGCAGCTCTGGGCTCGGTTCACTCGAAAACCCAACCATCATCTCCAGCACGTCCTCCGGCACGTCCGGCATGATGCTACGCCACCAATTCCAGTCCACTTGGGACAATCTCTTCCGATTCTTCTGGTTCTCTTCAAACTCTGCCAACATCACCATGGCGTCCTTTCTATTCATGACAGGGCACCCCGATCTCAGCCAACACTTCACAGCTCCAAGCTGCTGGTGCATGATCGTGCAACCCTGCCCATTCCAGTGAATGGCATACCCATTCTCCACTAGCAGACTCAGCGGCAAGATCGGCTCCACTGGCTCCAAGGACAAGAGGGTGTCAAAGTCCGGGTGCTTGTACAAAGTTGTACATCCATGGGCAAGCTCCACCGTCACAGGCTGCAACCTCCCTCGCTCCTCCTGTCTTGCCATTCTCAATGGGTGAGTAGCTCCACCATCCAATAAGGCTAGCTCCAAACCCTCATTGGTATCTGCCACATGAATCTGCTTCAATCTGAAAGTCTTCATGCTGCGGAGGGACTTCAAGAGGGATGTGGCCTCAGTGATCAGCTCCGACGTCGGATCACCCTTCTTTTCCAATTCAACTCCACCATCCCGTCCTTTTTCTCCTCCACCTGCCACCGGCCGTGTAGCCGCGGACAAAGAGCTCGTCAATGAAGTAGTTCCTGACTTTTCATTCGGGCCAGTCTCCTCCTTCTCCGACGTCCCTTTCCCACTTCCCTTCAGCTTGGCCGTCTTTTTCCCATCCTTCTCCGGTCGCTCCCGACCATACGGACAGTCTTTCGCAAAGTGGTTCTCCCCTGAGCAGTGAAAACACCTGCCCGTCTTGTTGATGCCCTCCCAGGCATGGGCGAAAGTACAGGTCTCTCCCCGCTTGCACCCACCAGTCGTACCCTAGTAACGGCATGGATGTTTCGTCTTTGGTGGTCCATCTCCGCCTCCGCCTCCTCCACCCAAGGCCTTAATCGTTGGCTGAGCTCCTGCTACCGGTTGAAGGACTGCTCCTGCGCCGGTATTCTTGGCCGACGAGGGATGCGGCATAGTCAACGCCAAATCCTCCGCCTCGGCCTGGAGAAACTCTGCGAACTCCTTGGTAGTGGTTAGCGTGGGCCTCCGATCGACCTCAAGTTCCTGCCGAGCTGCTGCAATCCTGAATCCCACTTGGCTTCCTCCATGCTTCGTGAGGTTCTCTGCAACCTTGGACAAGGCCTGAATCAAGACCATCGAGTCCGGGATCGCCGCATGCAACTCTTCAGCTCGACAAATCCACCTGCGCCAGGTTCGGATAGCGCCCAGTGTATCCTGAATAGAACTGCCGCACTTCACCTCCGTCAGGCTGCGCAACAGATTTCCCCTTTCTGCATTTCCACCAGGTTGGTAGATGGTGAAGAGCTTGTACAAAATCGCCTGAGTCGCCACTCTTCGACTTGCAACAATGTCCTTTCTCACCGGTTCCGGGAGCGCGGCTAGCAAAGTCGAGCTCGCCCGCTGATCCAATCGTTGGAACCGTGGGGACACCTGCTCCTCCACCTTGATTCTCAACCGCCCCAATGGCGTCGCCAAAAGCCACTCATTGTACTTCACCTCCACTTCTCGCTGCACCCAATCCCAAAACTCGCGAGACGACGTACTGAGGTCTCCCATCAACGGGGAAATCACCGTCAGCCAGTCCCCAAAGAGCAGGGCCGCATTCTCAGTCGAAGGTGATGGCAACTGTGGCAATTCCAAGTTCCGCATTGCCTCAGGCAGTGCAGCTGTCACTGATTCCAGCGGCTTCATCACGCTCGCCGCCCCAATCACTCCACTTCCATGACCTCGAGGATCGTGTACTGGAGCAAGACCAGGAGGAGTGTCAGGTGGTCCACCAAGCTTGGTAGGTTCCCCCACTGGCTCCTGCTGCCCCTCTGCCTTCGCACTCGGCACAGAAGTAAATGATGCCGAATCTCCAGCGTCCGTCATCTTCTTCACTTCCCGAGCAAAGGTTTCCTCAGCCTCCCTCAAGATGCGTTCTCGAAGACGTTCAACATGTCCCAGACCTGGACTCTGTGCAGGATGTTGGCCTCTGGCCCCTTCAGATTCCCGAACATGTGACTCACCCTTGGCCGCTTGCTGCACTGACGTGCTCCAGAAGGGATTCACCGTCCCCAATGGTCCCACCGGGGTGGTAGGATAAGGCTCCAGCACCCGAGGATGTAGGTCATCACGTCCCGCTCCAGTCATGTAAGGTGAAGCTCCCATGCGCTCCGTTTCCACCCCGCTCTGCCGCAAAGGAGTGCCCGCCGCCAGCCCGTGGCCTGGGAGAACTCCACATCCGGTACCGGCATGACCTCCCTGATCACCGGGCCGAAGAAGAGGATCAAGTAGGGTCGGCTGGGAACTGGGCCTTTGAAGAGCATGCTGCAACACTTCAAATGACTGCCGAACTGCCTCCTGCAAATGCCCAAGCCCCAACACCTGGCCTCTTGGGTCATTCAGCAACTGTCGAATTTCCGGTGTTCCCTGGTGGCCACTCGATGCCGTCACAGCTGAATGACCTCCATGGCCACCACCCGCGCCAGCAGCCACGCCCAGCCGCTTCACTTCTGCCGCTGCCACCGGCACTGATTGCGCCCTTGCCGCCTTCGCCTTCATCTCCTCCTCGATCAAGGCATCCAGCCGGCGGTCCGCAGCTCCGACTTCCAGCGGCGCCGCGGCCTCTTTCCTTTCCCGCGACCGCTGTTGCCGTCGCCTCCGCTGCTCCATGGGGACCAGCGACCCCTCTGTTCACCCAACAGCAGGGGGTGGACTTGGAAAATCCAAACAAAAAAGATCACCTTGGGCTCATAACCTGTGGTTATGACATGGGATGCCCAGCGCGTCGGGCCTTTTCAAACTTGAGCCAAAGTAAGACGAAAACACTCGTAGCGCTTGGCTTTCTACGAGGTGTGGTTGTACACTTTTTGATTGGTGCACTTCATGAATCACAGGTTTATATAAAGCTTGTGGGAACTCTGGTTGGACTTGTCTTTCTGTTGCTTTGCATCAAAGAGGAAAGTCTTCAGCGGAGAAGTTGATCACCGGGGCGCTTTGCGACGCATTGACCTGATTGACACCCCGGGTTTTGGCGACCCCGAGAAGCCTGATGGGGACACCCTCAGAGCATTGTCGCGTGCAACCGTGGACATTGCAGAAGGTGTGGATGTGTTCCTACACATTGTCAAGATGGATCGTATGAACGACATGGACAGGAACCTCCCGGAGATCCTTCTCACTGGCCTTGCAGACGATGATGAGACTCGGCAAGAGATGGCCGCACGGTACCTCTTTGTTGTGACCCACGCAGACTCTTCCAGAGGTCCAGCTGATCCAGCCAAGCTTGATCAGTTCAAGGGTGAAATGAGGGCATTCTTCCCCGAGATCTTGCACTCCGCAGTGCAGAATGCCATCTTCGTGGAGCATGGACCAAAGCTCGGCAGCTCACCCTATGGGGATGCAGTTGTCAACCGAGACTTGATCCTGGACCATGCCATGGACATGCGCCAAGTGCACCATCGAGTCTTCAAATCGAAGAAACTCGATGCAATCATTCAGAAAGGCTTTGCGACGGCTATGAACATGTGGAAGACTGACATGGGTTTTGATGGACAGCGTGGCAGATCCATCAAAGCAGAAGAGCTTGGTGGACTGCTCAACTTCTTCAATCAGGTGATCCAACAGAAAAAGTGGATTCACATGACGGAGGAACATGCCTGTTGCACTCGTTTTCGAGGTGGATGGAACAACATGAACAGGGCAGTTAGGGATGAGGTGGCAGTGCAAGTGGCCAAAAGTGTCATTCAAGAAGTCCAAGTGGCTGCCGTATTCCCCAACCTTTGCGTGGTGTTGTGATGCGACGAATTGGCCTTCCAAGGAGAGGAGATGCCTTGGCAATTTTGATATACCGGGACCATGGCAACGTATTTTGTGTGCCTTAGTAAGGGGTAAACATGAAAGACCTCTGTGACCCAGAAGCAAGGAGATTTCGGAGCAAAAATGGTGGCACTGCAAAGCTGTGTGCCCATGGATGCTGTTTCGTTTTTGGTGTTGATTCTTGTGGATTTTGTGCTTACAGAGCACTTTTGCACAAGCATTTGCGACAGATTGTTGGAACATGAATTCAGCTTCCCAGCCCGGTTCCAGGCATCAAGCCAGACGCCATTGTCTTCAACAGTTTGCTGGACGGCGGTGCGCGGAAGGAGCTGCCCATGCTCTGCGAACAGGTGGGGTGGGAGGCTGGTGGTTTCCGGGTGAAGAGGTTTCGGAAGTGGACCCCCGTCAAAGCTTGACATGAAGTGTAATGTTGCACCCAGTTTTCGCTGCATGGTCGTGTGCGTCTTTTTGGGTACCTGGGGATCTTGGGGATGTGCCGTCTAGCGAGCCCATGTGTATTACAATTCTTGGAACGAGGTCGTCTTGACCACCCACTGCCCCCCCCCCAACTTGCGCTCCCATCCTCTCGCTCCGCAGGTCGTCAACGACATGATCGCCGCCGGGGTGCCGCCGAGCAACTACTCGGCGCGCGCGGGGGGGTGGGGTTGAAACGGTGCGGTACGTGGGTGGGCAGAGTGGGTGGGTGAAATCGGGTCTCGAAGGGCATGTCCAGTGTGGATCCTCCAGCGGCGAGGGCGTTCCATGTGGCACCGGGGGGGTGTTTTGAACGCAAAGCATGCAAAAACGGGTCTGTAGATTCTGGGCCGCAGAGCAACAATGGATAGATATGGAACATGATGGAACCATATCTATCCATCTCTGCAGACCCCCCAGGACCCCCCCAAATCTCACCCCAGAGCCAAGACCGAATGGTCAGATCTGAAAGCATTTGTCACCCCTAAAAGCCAAGGGTTCAGACCTTTTCCAATCCTTTCCCTCCAAAAACAAAGACGATCCAAAGAGAGACATCCTCGAAAAGAAGATCCAAAGAGAGAAGAATCCCAGGCCGACCTCATTGCCCCCAGAACACCTCCAGGCGCTCCCGACGCCGATCCCACGTTCTCCCGCGGACGCCGCGATCGGCGAGGCCTCGATCCTCATCAAGCTCTACGGCCGGATTTCGGACCTGGACGCCGCCTTCAAGGCGATGAGCCGCGGCGAACCGTGGCGTGTTGCGTCGCGAACCGCGAAGCGCGGGTGTTTCAAGGAGCGGTGAAGGGACGGATCCCGATGAAGGGGCGGAAGGCCGCGTGGGTTTTTTTCTCGCTTGGTTGGGGGCGGAGCGAGACAAAACCGCTGGGAAACGTGGAACCGAAATGGAGACCGAAGTGCCAAAAGTGGGTGACGTTTCGGAAGGGTCAAGGACGAGGCGGCCATAGGCGGACCGGTCCCTTTTTTGGGGGGAATTTCATGGAATTTCCACTTCACCGCACACATACTCCGCAGAGGACCACATGGAACCCCAGAACCACTCAGTTGTAGAGGATAAGGGTCTTCCACAGGTTAGTTCTCAGGTTCCGAGTATATAAGTTTACGGGGGGGTAATAGACATGATAATGAAATGATAGAAATGCCAAAAGGTCAACATGATTCACTTCCACTTCGGGAGGTGAGATCGAGCCTCCCTGTCAACCGGGCGTCTCTTGTTCGGCCGTCTCGTCCCACATCCTGCCATTGCTTGGAGCGCAGTTCTGGCAGTCTGGTCTCCGGAACTGCCCCGGCAGCATGTTTTACAAGGTGGACATATAACATGTATATATTGATGTATATGTATATATATATAGCAGCTTCCCTTTTGGGGCAGGAATGGCGAGTCGTCACATTTTGTAAGTCGACCATGAATCCACCTAGCTTCGTTGGATGCTGACCTGGGGACTGCCTGGCGGGGTCCTCTTTGGCGTCACCTCAGACAAGGTCAGTTGGGTGATGGATGGTGCATGGGTGCGGTTCCCTTGCTTCCCTGCTTCCTTTTGGCCTTGTTCACTGGCGTGCCTTCAGGGCAGTGAAGATCCCACGAAGATACCTCTTTCCAGCCTCCAGCCACAACCAAAAGCCTTCGGAACCTTCCAAAAGCCTTTCAGACCGCGCCATATGTTTTTTTTCCGCGACAGCAACAAGAACAGCGACACCAAACACGGCCATCGACCCTTTTTCCCCAGCTCGAACCCACAGAACCCGCCTCTCTTCACCTTCTCGATCGGTTTTCTCTGGTCGCTCTGGTCGCGTCGCGGGTCTTGGACGTGGCTCGGCTCGGCAGGTCTTGGAGGAGATGCCCCGGAAGTTCGGCTTCCGCCCGAACGCGGCCGCCCGGGACGCCGAGGGACGGATGGGGGGACGGATCGGAACGGCGCAAACGCAACAATGCGTACGGCGTACGCGTGGGTGTTGGGATGAGGTGTCTTCGGAGGGATGTTGAGGTGGTTTCTATTTTTTCGTTGTGTTTTGAAGCAGTTTTTTTATTTTTTTCCCCGGGATTTGTGTGTTTTGTTTTGCCACTTGGTGGCTCAGGTTCCTTACCCCTTTGAACATGTTGTGGATGTTCAACAATGTACTAGTAGTATGACTTTTCAAGATGAGGTTGGTGGTCATGTTGGTCTTGCTTTGCAGACCTAGTGAGAAGGAATTCGCTTGGACTTTGGTTGGCAACACCAGGAACACTTGACCAACATGTTCTTTGCCCTAATCATACCAACCCATTCTTCTCAGTGATCTAATGGATCCTAGTGGTGCCTATTGTGTTCAGCAGGGAAGGGTTGGCAAACGACCTTCCGGATGAAACACTCGCAGAATTACGGTGTTCATTGTTACACGAAATTCAATTCACCATCTGTTCTGTTGTGCTCCACCCTGGTGACGAAGTCCTTCCTGCTCTGAAGGTCTATACGACGCTGATGTCCTCTTGCACGTGGTGCGGTCCTCAGCTGGTCAAGGTGCTGATGAGAAGGCTGCAGCTGCCCGCCATATCCTGCCATGGGACCAAGAAGACTGGTAGCTGTAGCTGAACTTGTATGTATCCAATTAGTGCTTTCCCCAAAGTTTTGTGGCAATCTTGTGGGAAAGACACATGCAGTATGCAGCTACTGATCCTTTTGGAAGCATTACAAACATCTCCTTTGTGCCATGGCCCGCGCGACTGTAGATGATGGGGTTTGCCTTGGTCTGAACACTCTCTTCCCGTCCCAAATCATCTCACACCATCAAGCCAACAAAGGATTTGCAGATAGGATCTGTCCCATTCAACACATAGAGGGTTTGTCCCATATCCCCTTCAAACAGATAGGCTTTGTCCCATATCCTACTCAAACAGGTAGGGTCTGTCCAATTCAAACAGATAGGGTCTATCTCATTCATAGGATTTGCAGACATCTCACCGATTTTCAATGGACTTTCGTCCCCAGTTCCCGCGAGGAACGGGCGGATGGATTTGGCCTTGGCGCTCAAGAATCGCATGATCCAGGCAAGGCTATGGCGCGGAGAAACGCGGCGAGCACGTGCATGGTGTGAGTGGTGTGAGGTGTGATTTTTAGATGGCAGAATCTTGGCTTGTCCCATGACCAACCAGTTGTTGAACAGTCTGACCTCGTATGATCTGTCACTATTTTAAGAGGATGGAAAGGCCTGCAACTTCCGGCCCCATCATCCAAAACGGGCCCTGGATGACAAGGATAGACCCAAAGTGCAGACATTCAAGTAAAGTGTCTCCATTGAGTCCAGGTTCCCCCACAAAAAGCACAAGGCATCAGTAGCGAGAACAAGGCATCAGTCGATGCACTTTTGTTGAACATATACTAAGCCACCCAAATAGATCGAAAGTACAATCCCTTTCAACATGTAGTGGAAACCTCGCCACTATCTATTTGGGGACCACGTATATAATACATTTTGAGGTCCGAACCGACCTTCGGTTTCGAAGCAGTGTCGTCTGCTCATGCCGGCAAACGTTTGGACAAGCTCCGCCGGAATGGGCGTGTCAGGATGGCCAGTTACCGGATGAAAAGACCTACTCCACCTTGCTGCGGGGCGTCTCTTGCCGAAAATACTTCGGGAACACAGGAAAACACCGGAAAACCAGTGGGCAGGTTTTTGGGCGAAACCACTTTCCTGGACTTGGCAAGTTGGGACAAATAGGAAGGACAAATGCCCTGGTGCCGCCGACCCCTGCAACAAAGGGGGCCGGTTGGCAAGGGCACGGCCAGCAGCCGTGGAAAACATCGACACAGATGATTCCTCCCATTTTAAAATATGTTTTGGACAATTCCTCGTTCTTGCTTAATAAATGTTAAAGGCGGAATGCCGCAGATGATCCCTGGATGCGTGCCGCAGATGATCCTTGCCCGGCGTACCACAGATGATCCCGCATGCCGCAGATGACCCCCTTTGTGGGGGGGAGGGGGGGTGAAGTCAGCGAAACCAACATTTCCGCGCTTAACCACAAGATCAACATCTTGATAAACAATCTTTACAAGCAACCTTCCACAAGACATGCCTCGCCTCTGCACGTGGCAGAGGGTCAGCGGATTTTGCTTACAAGGGTGCAGAATGTGATGAGGCTTTTGCTTGTGTTCTCCATTACGGGCTGGATGAGGAGTTTACCACAAAGAGCCAACGCCCATGTCGCACGTTCTTTTCGATGTCCACACTGTCGCGCCATCTCGCGCCCTGGACTGTGACTGATTCGTCCATCGAGATACCTCGCTTCAACCAGACACCTCTTGGGCACCGGGGACCCGGCGCCTCGATGGCGCGTGAAAAAGAACCGACAGCGTGGGGGTTGCCAACACGGGGTTGCTAACACGGGGTTGCTAAGAATCGCCAGGACCGTGCCACGACCTGCATACGTGCAGAGAGCGCGCTGTCCAAAGGCAAATTGAGAGTGAACATCCGAAGAAGCTCAGCAACAGGGCCCGCCGAAGGGACAACAGCAAAGGACAACGAAGAAATGGATTGGGCGATTGGGCCAAGGATGCGCCAATGGCCTCAATCTCGGGCTCTGAAACCACCAACGCAACAGAATCCAACCTGCCAGGTACCCGCGGATTCTGGGGTGGAGGGAGAAGACCTTCAGTGATCCAGGGGTTGGTAGGGTTGATGCTGAAACAAGGATGACTGTGACCAGATGTGACTGTGGGCAAACCGCTCTGACGGAACATGAGCAAGGTTTGCAATGGTGTCCATGGGTAGACACAAGAACGACAGCTCACAAGACTTCATCCAAAGCGGTGATTGTTGCAACCCTTCAAATACAAGCTAGCACAGCGAACGGACCGCGAATGGAGTATTCTGGCCCCCAGCAGTCCCAAACTGACCAACTGAGCGGAAGAGAGTATGGCGAGCCCTGCGAGCGAATGTAGGGTTCGCCATCCTCCGGGTCTCCACCACCCGAGGCCATGCGCTCTGGGCAAAGCGAGCAGATCGCCGCCCTCCTCTGGGAGGCGCCACGCGGATGATGGCCGTCAGTGTGGGTAGGTTGGGACGGTGCGGAAGGGAAAACGTTTCTGGGATCAGGGATAGAGGGTGTCTACAGGTCGGTTCTTCAAAGTCAGTTTGATGATGTTTACAGATGCGAGGGTGAACCAGTTGGGGGCTTGGATGCTTTTTGGAGCTGAATTGGTCCATTTTCGCTCCATTTTCCCATGGATGGAGCTTTTTCAGTTGTGAGCAGAACCTGTTGCTGACGTTCCAACCAGCAGTCACGACGACAGGGGCGCTTCATGGAGGTTAGGGGTGCCCTTGTCACATCCACTCACTGGAGGAGACGAGCCACACCACCCCGAGCTCTGTGACTCCTGGAAAAACAGGTTTAACTCCTTAGCAGTTCCTTTCCAACATGGCTCGCAACGTTTCATCCGGAAACACGCGGGAGTCAACCAAGCTCACCCACGCACCCATCACGTCCATCCGCCCCCACGCGATCCGTGGCCAAGCAAGTGGCACGACTTTTTGGCCCAGTCGCTCGAGGAAGAAGCGAAGAACGCCATAGTATTCACCCTTTGGAAGACCATGGTGCACCAGACCAGACCGTTCCACCCCCCAAATGGTGTCGCCCACGGGACCGGCTTCGTGCCACCGCGCCGTGCCGCGCGTGGGGGGACGAGGCGTTGGAGCAAGGAGAAGCACGCAGGCGGGCGCGGCCGGGGGCGACGCCGCTTCCGAGTCCTGGAGCCGGGGGGGCATGGGCGTTCGAGGTTCCGGACCCAGGACGTTTCAAGGGATGGATTTGGTGAACTTGGTGACTGAGTCTGGCAAGGCTTTTTTCTTCACTTCGAAGACCAAAGATGACATGCTTGCCGGTGAAATCTTTCTGTGTTTGGCTATACCCTGGCTACTTTCCCTCATTCTTGGCCAGTTGGTGCCACGAGTGGAGGTCGGAGGGCCGGATTCGCGAAGAGGGCGAGCTTTCGATATCCTTCCAGTGGTCTGCGAAAGGATCGGGCTCAGTTCCAGCAACTTTGGTGCCCTTTGAGACGGTCCAGGCGTCGACCGACTCAACCCCTCCCCGGTGGTTTCAAAGCCCATAAAAAGGCACGTCTGAAAACCGCTGCGAAAAGGATGCGGATGGGGCGAGCGTTTGAAGCGGTGGACTACTTCGGATGAGATGAAAACAGCGGTCGGGGTGCCTAGTCTCAAGATCCGAAACCTTGCGGAAGATCCGCGACCGCTCCGAAGACCATGCCCTTGCCCTCGGTGCCCTCCGCCCTCCACTCCTGACAGATGCCAACTGCTGGCGGATGATGTGGCGCAGAATGCCTTGCAAAGCATGTCGTGCCTGGGCGAATGGCGGACTGGTGGCTGATCAACGTAGAAAGGGCCCCAGAAACTGACCTTATGTTCCTTTTTGATTATTATTGTCAGTTGACCGCCAAGCCCGTCGCGGCTCCAAGACGGAAAAGGTTGCGCCGTCGAGCGTTTTCAGTGGTAGCGGAGCCCCGAAGTGGGGCCTAGGTTTCGTTTTTCCCGTAGGGCTTGAGCCATGTCGGGCGCCGATCTTGGAGCTGCGGCCAATCCACTGGCTGCTGATGAGGAGGAAGGGGGAGAACCTCATACCCCCGAGCTGGAGCAGATGCCTATGCCTGTTTTTCTCCACCGCCATCGAAGAGGACTTCACCGCACGGCGAGGATGGCGGCATCTCTGGGAAGACAGGATGAGGTTCCTGGTGAGACGGAACAAGACAATGGAGAGAAGAGGTCAATGGAGGCATCGACTCCGAGCAGCCGTCAGAGTGAGGACCCATGGATGACAGAGGATCCATGGCAAGGAGGTCGACCGCAACACAACGGATATGCCAATTGGTCAGAGACTACATCGAGGACTTCGTCGAGGGCATCCTCTGGTGTGGGGTCGAGTGACTCTTGGCAGAAGGTGGAACACCAGGAGTGGAAGAGTGAACACCCCAGACATGTATACTGGGCTGATGAGGCATGGGGACATTCAGCCAGGAACAGCCCCCAGGAAGAGGCAAGAAGCAACTGGTCCTGGTCTTCGGAGTCGGGAGGGCAGACTCATGAGGACCGACAGAGCCATGACTGGCGTTGGGGGGGGTGGAGCTCGAATCGCAATTGGGAAACAGATTCAGAGAGCTCATATCGCTCGAGTCACTCTTCGGGTTCCTGGAAGTCGGCACGCGAATGGGTTGAACCGGAGCTTCATCACGGAGGTTCAGCAGGGGATCACGGGTCTTCTTCGTCACTATCCCGTGAACAAGGACATCGTGCTGAAGTATATGCAGGTGACTGGCGGCGGCCTATGTCCGACCTTCATCAGGGACCCCTTCGAGTACCCGAGGCGGCAGAGGGGTCGCTGAGCGAGGCTGAGGTGTCGGCGGAAGATGGCCTGGGAAAAATGACTCCCTCACCGATGTCGCCCGGAGCCCCGGCGATGAAAGACAAGTGGAACAAACCCACGGGAGAGGTTCCTTCGGGCAATCCCTCGATCGCCGGAGGTGCAGGTGGAAGTGGCAGTGGCCAGGCGGCTACTGGTGGTGGGAAGATCTCAACGACATATCCACCAATCTTCTATGCACGACCCGGTGAGAGTTGGGAGCAGTACTGGAGGACAGTGACCTTTTGGCTGGCTTCGGAAGGCAAGTCCTTGCCAGTTGAAATGAGGGGTCCCAGGTTGATGCAACAGTTGAGGGAACGTGCCGGCAAGATCGTTCAGCACCTCACGGTCGAGGAGGTCACCTCCGAGAACGGAGTCGCCATCATCAAGGGTGAAATGGAAAAATCACCTATCATCAGACTCTTGGATAACAAGAAGATAGATAAGCGGAGGCAAAAGTTCATGAAGTTGGCACGGCTTCCACACGAGAGTGTTGAGAGTTTCATCAACCGGGCCGAGATCTACCGCAGGGAAAATGAGGCTTCACCGGCATACAGGGTTGGCTCCTGTTTTTATGTCGGCCATCTGTTGGACAGCGCCAAATTGACTCGCAAGGACTTGGCGCTGCTGAAGGCCGCTTGTGGTGGTGACATCGAAGATGAGACTAAGGTCATCTCAGCGATGCTCGAGCTCGCTGAACAATTTGAAGGAGCCCCGTACTGCCCCATTGGCCGAGGTGAACCTCAGCTTGACAATGAGGACCAGTATTTGGTGCAGAAGCCGGGCTCTACATCATCGACTTCGACCTTGGCTTCCGACCACACTCCCAATCGTCGCCGCCCTTTTCCAAGGGCCCGGGGTGGGCGCTTTGCCCCTTCTGGTCGGCGCCGTTTTCGAGACGCCCTGGTGGCCATTTTGGAGGACGATGGCGATGAGGATGGGCTAGACGAGACATTGGCTGATGTCTTGGGACAAAAGTCAGTCGATGAGGAAGAAGATCGACTGGAAGGAAATGGACAGCCTGCTCAAGGGGATATGACTGAGTTCGCTCCTCCCGGTACGCATGATGCGTTTGTGGCGTCGGGCAACCAAGGAGATCATGGGACGCCTCCTTTGGCTGAGATCTATGCCCAAGAGTTCAAGGCCCGCAATCGTGTTCGTGAGATCAAGAAGATGAGGCAATACTTCCAGAAAGAGTTGCCGGGAGGGCCAACGGCTGCACGCAACGAGCGCGTCAAGAAGTGGGTCGCTGAGCAGCAGAAGAAGGAGCCTTGCTTTATTTGCCACCAGTTGGGGCACTGGAGCCAAGAGTGCCCTTATCGGCGAAGGGACAAGAATGTCCATGCCGCCAATGTGACTTTTCCAGTCTCACAGCCCCAACAACAGGATTGGGCCTTGCTGGAGTCACTGGCCGCTTCTGGAGCGTACATGGTGCAACATCAGGGGAGGGCCATGGAGGAGTTTGGGAATCTTCATCCACCTGAACCCCATCAAGTTTTTTGGGCAATGGATGAACTAGTCACCCAGAGTCAGAGCAAGATGATAGTGGATTTGGGCTGTATGAAGACGGTAGCAGGTACCACCTGGATCAATCGAGTGGTCAAGAAGTGGAGACAACGGGGACACTTCTTGAAGGTCACACCCGAGGAAGAACAATTTCGTTTCGGTGATGGTCAAGTGGTCACGAGCCAATTTTCTGTGATGCTCGAGGTGACCCTGGCGGGCATACATGGAGTGTTGCGGGTGTCAGTCGTGCAGGGCAATTGCCCACCACTCTTGTCGAAGCCTGTGTGCTCGGAACTGGGTCTCGTCATCGACACCTCCTCACACACCGTCTCATCAAGAAAGTATGGAGTCCGGGCATACGGATTGGAACAGTCTAGGGGTGGACATTATGTCATTCCGATTGACGAGACCGTCGGACACCCGTTGACATCGATCACTAAAGAGTATCGCATGCCGGAGCACCTCGAGATTCAAGTTTTTGATTCGCCGCGGGGCTGAGCAATTCGGGAAGGGGAAGCTGCGCATCCCACCACTGGAGACAGGCTGCTGCATGGCGAGCCGCCGGCGCCCCGAGAAGACCGAGGTGTACGAGCTCTCCCAGAACGAATGGGAAAACGTGGGACTGGATGGGGAGGAGGAAGCCGAGATGTCCGCCAACGAGGAGTTGGAGGAGGAGGTCATCTCGGGCAACCTGCGCAATCCCCTGAGGACAGTGAGGAGGCAGACTTTGAACCGCCATCTCAGGAAGTCTTCGTCGCAGAGCCCTCAAGCAGCACCTCGCAAGCCTCGGCAGGTCCGGCAGACATCGGCCAAGAGGACGGCTCGGGACGAGCCGGCTACAGCATCGACAGCACAGGCGTCACAACCAGAGACGCCGGTGGCCATGCAGATGAACATGGAGAGTCTGCAGATGATGATGAAGCAGATGCAGGAGATGATGCAAGGGCAGGCTCCCGAGAAGGTGACGGGCACTGGCGCCCATCGGGGCCGGAGCGTGGAGAAGATCCCCGAGTCAGCCAAGGTCAAGAAGACACCACGCAAGGTCAGGACGGCAGCTCTGACAGGGGACGAGGCTCCGTTCCCGACTCTCTCCACGGTGTTTTCCGACGACCCCACGATGAACCTGATGATCAGCCTCAAATCCCAGACCTTGACCTTCAAATGGAAGATGCTGCTCTTGTTGCTCCGGGTCAAGTCGGCCGTGGAGATCGAGCGGAAGCGCTGGCGTCGCAATCCCCGGTGGATCATGTACATGCAGGGCAACCACATCGCAGCGCTGTGGGGTCACTTGGGAGCGGCACGACAACTCTGCTACTCGCCAAAGGTGACCTGGCTGGGCGAGTAGGAGCTCCAGAGCATCCAGAGGAGTCGGCTGAGCACCAGGCACGTGCTCAGGACCGGATCGACCTGGTCATGGGGGCGGATGGCGCTGCTGGCTATGTGTCCGAGAATGCCACCAGCGAGCCCTTTCACCCAGAGTCCAAGGACGTGCTGGCGGCCTCCGGCGGTGACCTCACGGTGGAGGACGAGGGCACTGGTGCTACGGTCGTCAAGCACACCCTGAACCGCAGACAGAGAAGATCGCTTGAACAGGGTGTTCAACGTGCGATACGAACGCACTCCAAGATGTTTGATGTACTGGATGCCAAGTCGGCTGAGGTAGCTCGCTGGACGCTCTTGGAAGTCTTTGCTGGCAAAGCCCATTTTTCTACTCGGGCCCGCCAACGGAGTGCATGTTGGGAGGTCCTGCCACCGCAGGACATTTTGTCGGGTGGCCTTGACCTGTTGGACCCAGAGCACGTGGAGATCTTGAAGGATGTCATCCGGGCTCAAGAGCCTGATGTGATTACTCTGGCACCACCTTGCGGTCCGTGGTCAGCTTGGCAACGTTTACGCAAGCGGAAGGCCGCTCTTCGTGAACTCCGACGACAACACCTACCCTTTTGGGACTTTGTTGCTTGGTGCTGGGACTTCCAGTCCGCCACGGGGGGGTTGGTGGTTCTTGAACAACCCTCCACGTCTGAAGCTTTGCGCCTTCCTGTCATGACTCGTCGTCAACAAGTCTTCCAAAAGGTGGTTCACATGTGCAAGATGTGCATGAAGGACCGCGTCTCGAAAAGACCACACAAGAAGCCCACGGCGGTCCAAATGAACCACGAGGCCATCACCACCCCTATGTTTCCGGAGATGACCTGTTGCTGTGAGCCCGGAAAGCATCAGCCCATTGAGGGCACAGTGAAGCTTTGGAATCCGGTGGAGGGCCGTCACCAGCAGGTCAAGAGATCCACTTTGGCGGCGGAATGGCCCGACGGGTTTTGTGACTGGCTGCTCAATGGCCTGGAAGCCTTGAGAGAAGAGAACGCCGAAATGACTTTGGCCGTGCATCAACATACCCCATCTTCCCGGATATGGGAATCAGTGCCAGTGGAAGTGGAGA